CTCTCTCTACTTTATGGCTCTTGAACTTAATCACTCTATTCTTACAACTCCCCACCCCTGAAATATACACCTCACCACAGAGCTTCAACTTATTTTTTCTTGTGAATGGTAAGACTTAGACGTCAGGGTTTTGACTCAATGTACAGTGTGTCTTGCATTTTTCTCTTCCTCTGCTAGAGCAAACACTCATTGTATCTCATGGTGGTCACCACATATTCTAAACATATTAAGGTTGGCTAAATTGATGGCAATCACAAATTGTTTGCAAAGTACTTTCTATGGTAAAGACTGGTAAATATAAACAATAATATGGAAGTAATTTTTAAACACTACTTACAATTTTTTTTTCAAGAAAGCTAGCAGAAGATCAAAATAGGGCTGATATTCATGGCCAGAAACAAATATATCTTACAAGAGTGTATTGTCTGGCAATTTTCAAGTAAGCAAGCAGCAGTCCCATAAGTGAAAACTGATCATGTTTCATCATTGTGTAAATGATGAAGGTCAAACTAAAATACCCCATAAAAATTGATTTTCTAATTTTTCCAGCCTATCAAATTCATACATTAGCCTAATTTTTAGCCCAGGCTTTTCACTTCTGAACTTAGCAATACCTTTCAAAAGCTTCTCATTTACCCTCTCATCTTTATTTAGAAGAAAAAAAAATCACACCTCTGCAAATCAGCTATTCTGCTACCAGATTTCTGAAGCATACTCTCAAGATACTGGGTGAGCCTGTGTGATCTAAACAGGCCTCGTATAGAATCCACATAGTGACTTTATAGACAAGACACTTTTGATTGTAGGTAACAGAACTAGATTTGAAATTTAGGGAATCACCTTCTGTATACGAATTGAAAGAATGCAGAAATTCTACTGATTTTTTAAAAAAAATAAACACATATTTTCTCTGGCATAGATTGCCTGGATTATATCCAAATCTTGTTCATTCATTATTCCCAGTGCACTTTTCTGCATAATCTTGGCACAATCGTCACCTTTCCCATTATTATATTGCAGAATTCATTTATACTTTCTAGTATGTTAACTATAGCTCCCATCAGCCCCGTGTAGTCTAATACATGTAATCCCTGACTTACGACCACAATTGACCCCCAAATTTCTGTTGTTAAGTGAGATATTTGTTAAGTGAGTTTTGTCCCATTTTACAACATTTATTGCCACAGTTGTTAAGTGAATCACTGAAGTTGTTAAGTTAGTAACCCGATTGTTAAGTGAATCTGCCTTTTCCCATTGATTTTGCTTGTCAGAAGATCACAAAAGGTGATCACATGACCTTGGGACACAGCAATCGTCATAAATATGAACTGGTTGCCAAGCATCTGAATTTTGATCATATGACTATAGAAATGCTGCAAAAACTGTGAGAAATGGTCATAAGTCACTGTATTCAGTGCTGTTGTAACCTTGAATGGTTACTAAATGAACTATTGTAAGTCCCACATGTTTTTCCTGTTATCCCCTCTTTCTAAACTGTAAGCTCTTTCTGCCTACATTTTCTCTTTCTTTCTGAAAATTGCGTATATGGACAATATACAGTAAGAAGCATGATCATCATGTATCTTTGTACGATTTCAGTGCCCAAATCACAGAGTAACATTGAAAAAATACAGAAAGTATCTAAAAATATTTGCTTTTCTGGCCCATAATGAAAGTAAAAGCTACCTCTAAAAATGTTAGCCTGATTGCAGATCTTCTACTGATCAGTTGCTATTGAACCCACCTCCAATAGCATCATATAAAAGGTCCTGTGCAAGCATCTATGGAATGGGGCTGTTTTCCTTTCACTCACAATTCTTTGGAACCAGTCCACAATACAAGAAAGATTTATGCTATATTTGGGTCAACTTCCAAGAAATACATGATCATGCTGAGCAGTTTTTGGACTCTTGGCTAGTGTGAGCCTTTGTTGGAAGCAAGCAGGCATTACATCCATTCAATTTTTAAACACAACAGCACTTCTGACACTTAAAATATGATGTAGGAAAGCAAAGGAGGCATGGGAAACTGATGCCTAAATTGTCCTATAATAAGCGTTACATTTATATATGGAGAAAGTCTTATCTGTTTCTCTCTACTGAGTGGTTTTCCATCAGAAAACTCCCATTATTCATAGAGACAATATCTGGTGAAGTGAGAAGAACCAATCCCTGCATTTTTTGCAGGGGCATTAAGGTCAAATTGGGCATCTGGATGTACCAAAATTCTCTCTGGAAGAAAGAGAGAACTGGAGATTGCCCACATGTGCTTTGGACAGCTGATCTTTGTGAGAAGACTACAGAAATGATTGTTTTTACAGCCACTCGGTTTGACCAAGCCTCATCTTTTTAATCACTTTGGAGTTTTATTTTTCTTATTGTTTGTTTAAGACTAAAAAACTTTCAGAATCACAGGACTCCCAGTCACTGGGTGGGATTCTCTTCAATCCACTTAAAAAGAAAGAATATCACATCTTTCTAGGTTTATAAGATCTTTATTTTTTTGGGTGATTTCTGTAGCAAAGAGGTGATTCCAGAGTTGTTTCTGGAAAACTTTATAAATGGTAAAAGCTTTATGACATTGATTTAAAGAAAGGCTTTGAAGTTAATTAGAAAGGGCTTCTTATGTGGGAAAAACATACCGTATCTTGTTTACAAGCAAGACTTTAAGGATCGATTACTAACGCACAAATTGGGTACTTTAAAGGAATTGTTTGATTTATGGGCCTGTGAAGCACTTGAACTCTATTGGAACAAAAACCTCTACTGAAAAAATCCTTCTGGAGATAACTGAGGGGAATTCTAAGCTGGATTTAAAAATTACAACTTATAAGAAACAGATGTAAATATTAGATTTACAAATGCAATTGGAATCATTTAAACATTGAACAAGACATTATGGACTACTCTTTTAAATTGAAATATAAGATATATATACTGAAGTTACTTAATGAAAATTACAAGTAGACCTGAAAGATGATAAGAATTTTGAGATAGCAGGAAAAGATAGTAGAAGAAAACAGGAGTTGGAATTATATTTATAAGATTTAGGATTGGCTAGGAGGAAGAAGGAAAAATCTAAAACTGGTTTATCTGACTATATTTAAAAGTGTTCTTATTTCTGGTCATGCTTATTGGTTATCTAGATTGGATAGTTTTTCTTTTGGAAATGTCTAAAGGTGTAATTTTTAAACTTGGCAACTTTATAATATGTGGACTGCAGTTCCCAGAACTTTCTAACCAGTCACCCACTGAGTGCCAAGCAGTTTAACAACTGCAAGGAGCTGAAACTGAATATTGTTTAGCATCTGACAAAACGTACCTGACAATGAACGATCCAACAAAAGGGACAGCATCAGGCAACTACAAGCTAATTACTTGCTTACCAACAATTTTCAAATTGCTAAGTAGTGTGATAGCTGATGCAGTCCAACAGCATCTAGTTAAAAGCAAGCTCTTTCCACCTGAGGAAACTGTCCAAACAGAAGAGGAACAAAAGATCATTTCCTATTGGTAGTCACTTACTTATAATTGTTTAACAACAATTTGAAATTATAATGGCCTTGGAAAGAAGTGATGTATTACTTGCCCTCAAAGTTACAACCGTCATACAAACTCCGTGATCATGTGATCACAATTCAGTCATTTGGCAATCAGCTTGCATTTATGATGGTTGCAGCATCTTGCAATTACATAATCATGATTTGCAACCTTCCCAGTCAGCTTCTCACAAGCAAAGTCAATTGGGGAAGCTGGATTTGCTATGGTGATTCACTTAATGACCGGGGTAAATTGGTTGTAAAATCGGCTTTCATCACATCATTACTTGTTTTATGACCTCACCAACTTACAAAGGAATTTCCAGCCCCTATTGTAGTTGTAAGTTAAGGACTACCTACAATTGACAAGATGATTTTGGAAAGGAAGATCAATTTGAGTGGAGTTTAGATTGATTACAAGAAGATATTTGAATACCTGCCACAATAATCAAGAGCCTAGTAATAATAGAATTCAGAAGAAATCTCAGAAGCTTTGTGCATGATCAATAGGAGAAGGAAAGACACAGTTGTAGTCAGTGGTGATAGATTGAGAGAGGTTAATATCAAGAGAGAAGAGTCTTTCTTATTTTCTATTTTTCATTGCATTGATTCCTCTGTCAATGATACTGAACACTGGCATTAACAAAATCACTACCAGTCAATTACTGCCTGGCAGATTTATTTGGAACACCTTATATATGACAATATCTTTAACATCATCAAACAACAATATCTGCCTGTCCCAGGATCTTGGGAACAACGCGATAGATGGATAAAAATGCCAAATCGAGTGTAAACATCTGGCTGACTTTGCATCAGCCATAGTAATAATGGTATTCCACCTTTACTCTGTAAACTCAGAGCAGCTCTCAGGAATTGCAACTCCCTGTGGAATTGATTGGGCTGAGAGAAAGACAGATCTGGTCTTAATTCATCCAAGTGGCTCACTTGGTTAGGATGCTGAGTCAGAAGACCATTGAAAGGTTGACAGCTTGGCAGTCTGAAACCCAAGAGCGTGAGCCGCATAACAAAATGAGCTCCTGTTAATTTGTCCCAAAGTCCGCTAACCTAGCAGTTTGAAAGCATGCAAATGCAAGTAGATAAATAGGTACCAGTTTGGTGGGAAAATAACAGGAACATGAAAGGAGTCCCTTCAGGTGTCTCCTGGGCAATGGTGATGTCACCGGCTAATCCTTTCAACCCAGAAGCGCCTTGGTAAGTGCTTCCAACATGAATGTAGTAGTAGTCATCCATGGATTAAGGGTGGATTTAAGACTCCCTAGTCCTCACTTTTCAACTTAGCCAGTTTAATCACACTGGCTCAGAAGACTAATAAGAAGATGAAAGAAGGGGAATCAAGACTTTTGCTACTATCTATGGTAAAATCAATATTCAGGAGTGACTTTTCTCAGCTCAAAAGATGTTGAGGGATCTCTACGCCTTTATCTCTGGCTATACTTACATGACTTTTCCAGGACACTTGGGTCCCCAGCTGCACTTGTGATACTCAGCTTTCACATAGTTCTCCACTCCATCCTGAAGAATGCACGTAACATTCCTCTGCACCACATATGCACAATAGATCCTGCATGAAAGCAAAGTCAGATTTGGTTAAACATTGGGTATGTCTAGTTTAACAAAGAGAAGGACGAGGGGGGACATGATAGCAGTATTCCAATATCTCAGCGGCTGCCACAAAGAAGAGGGAGTCAAGGTATTTTCCAAAGCACCTGAAGGCAAGACAAGAAGCAATGGGTGGAAACTAATCAAGGAGAGAAGCAACCTAAAACTAAGGAGAAACTTCCTGACAGTTAGAACAATTAACCAGTGGAACAACCTGCCTCCAGAAGCGGTGAATGCGCCAGCACTGGAAGTTTTTAAGAAGAGACTGGACAGCCATTTGTCTGAAATGATATAAGGTTTCCTGCCTGAGCAGGGGGTTGGACTAGATGACCTCCAAGGTCCCTTCCAACATTATTATTATTATTATTATTATTATTATTATTATTATTATTATTATTATTATTATTATTATTATCTGACAACCAGATTTATCTCCCAACCCCTCTCAAACCTCCAAGCCAGACTTTGCAGTTTTCCAGTTGGGCAAACAGCTAAAGGGTTTGCCTTTTGGTTTTTCATTAGCAGGGAATGATCAAATAGCTGAGACCATCAACCAGAAAGTTTTCAGACAAAGACAAAATTATTTGGAGAGACTCAACTATGAAAGTACAAACTAGTAAGTCAATTCAAATTTTACATTCCTTAAGTACCAATATTTGGATACATTGAATGCTTCTTTAGATGAATGCCATTTTTTTTTCTAACAAAATCTATGCAGGAAAAAGTACTCAGAGTTATTCACAAGTTGAAACCAAGTAAGTAGTTAACATTTTGAGGTATGGGATTCATACATAAAGCTGAATCAGTAACAAAACTATTATGAAAATAATTTCAGTTGGAGCTTTTTCAACAATAACAGCCTAACAGATGTCAGTATGAAAAAGGCACTTCTCTTCTAAAGCTGCATCTTAGCAACTGCATCTCCACTCTGTAAGCCACTCAGTGACCAAATTGTCTATCCCTCCCACTTCCCCATCACACATGCACAAAAAGTACCGTAATTTACTATAGCCTTACTCAAATGTGTAATGTGAACAATGTGGGCAAGGAGTGAGGTAGGGTTTATTTGCAAGCACTGCCTCTTCTGTATACCTTAATGTCTAAGTTCAGAATAGTTACTTTACTGTGAATCAGAGGCTGATAGACCTTAGAACATAGCTATTAAACTTAATATATCTTAGTAGATGACAGTCTTTGTCTGACTTTGTCTGAGTTTAGAACAGTGGTTCTCAACCTGTGGGTCGGGACCCCATTTGGGGTCGAACAACCATTTCACGGGGGTCGCCAAAGAAGGCTGTCCGCCATTTTTCCCCTTTTTCTTTGGCCACACCCCTGGCACCCGGTGATGTATAAGTGGTTGGGGGTCACCACAACATGGGGAACTGTATTATGGGGTCGCGGCATTAGAAAGGTTGAGAACCACTGGTTTAGAAGGTAGGCAAGATCTGGTCTGGTTAATACTTGGAGGGAAAACTCCAGGGAATACTGAAACTATAGAATGTGAAAAGTGGAATAACATTCCTGAAAAGGCAATGGCAAACCATTTCTATACTGTTACCAAGAAATATTTATGAAGTCTTGTGAAGTCAAGAGTTGAGACTGATGGAAAAAAATCTGTAATGTACATATCTATTTTTATCTTTGATGTATTTAAAGTGACTATAATGAACAATCCAAACTTTTTGGATTGGAAGGAGTGCTTTCCTTCCACTCCAAAACAAGGGCACGTGTGTACCCTCCAGTCTTTTTGACTCCTGACAACTGTCTGGAGAAGTTGCTGGGTTGTGGGTTTTTTTTTTTTTTTTTTTTTTTTGAGAAGGTTTTTCAGAAGAGGTTTGCCACTATTTTTTCCCTAGGGCTGAGGGAGAGTGACTGGTCTAAGGTGAGCCACCTGGCTTCATGCCTACAATGGGAAAAGAACTCAGCTTCTGATCTGACCACTACACCAAACTGGCTCTCCCAAAGGAAGCAAATACATCCAAGTTGTTATGTTTTTCCTCTGAATCTGCCCATTTTATCTACTGCATGAAAATCAAAGGCTACTGAAACTTTGTTGTTGTTGTTCAGTTGCAAAGTCATATCCGACTCTTCACATCCCCATGGACCATAGCACGCCAGGCGCCCCCATCCTCCATTGTCCCCAGGAGTTTTCTCAAATTCTGAAATTTACACTGAAATTTACATTATCCCTATTGTGTGTTAGCTTTGAAATACTATCCCCACTGTCCTCTTTACTGGTATACTAAGTCTTTCCCTTTTTATAAATAAATACAAATGTCCTTTAGAGATAGACCTTCCATATATTCCTCAGTTCATATCTAGCGTATGCCAGGATATCATCTGCTATGCATGTCTCAGCCAAGGTTGTGGTATTTTCCTGTCCATCAAGTGCAGAGGCATAAACTAGATTACTGTTTAATTTCCCTGAAATTTGAGTAAATGCTAGTTTTGGGTTTTGCCCATATCAGTTGTTTTTCTGGCATTAAAATCTGCAAGACATATTTGGAGGTTGACGAGTAAGAAACTTATCCCTGATACTGTATCTGTCTCTATGAAAACCAACACTTTGAGATAATTTCAGTTTCAGAATTTCTGGTATAGTACCTGATTTTGTTTTCTTTCTGTGTTGAGCTCATGGAATGAAAATAGAACAAATAGTTTATATCAGCTTAATGGTTAATCAGTATTTTAAAACATTTCAGATTGTTGAAATCTGCTGAATGGTAATATATTCAGATAATATTGCATAATTTGGACCAGATACATAAAAAGCATATGAAACCTCTCAAATTTATTATCACTACTAAGAGCTTTTGGATGATTCCAAACTTACAATTTATTTTTACAGACAATTGAGGAGTTTTATAAGATAAATATTGGTAAGTTGTAAGAAATATAGAATAAAAAATTGGAAACTTCTGTTTTTTAAAACAGCAATGGGTTAGGAGTTTAAAATTTCTACATGTTGCTATTAAGACACAGTTCTGCAATTCAACAAGAAATTCCATATTAAGTGATTTGGATAATTCAGAGGATGTTTAGTAAGGGCTAGAAATCAACCTTAGAATAATAGTGTAGATATTGACACATTTGTTCTGGGGCTATTCCAAGATTATTCCTTTCTGGTTTAATATTTATAAATTTATGGTGTTGGCAAAAGAAATAAGATTTAAATATATCAATATAATGTTGATCTATATTCAAAAGCCTATTATTGCATTGAGTGCTCTGGATTTATTGTGCATGGATTATTGCTAATTAGACTGCTTTACTATGATGAAAAGACCTTCCATACTTGACATAAAAATTTATAATATGTTTATACAGCACTTTGAAGTTATAAAGCTCAAGAACACTTTCTTTTTGGGGGAAAGGAAGACCAATTCTTCTCTGTATGATCTATGGTTGATCAGTTGTTTAAAATACTAAAATATTATTTTCATGGATATTACTTATTTACCTACCTATCTTTCTACCTACTGTATGTTTTAATATTATCATGCTGTTTATTTTGTTTCTGTTACTTTTGAGCTTTCTTTATTCTTCTTCTTTTGGCACTGCATGTTAAAAGCACTGTTTTTTTCTTTTTAACAAACTGCATGGGTGAGTGGAATTGAGAAACTTACAATATTCCTACAGTTTTCCATCAGTTGCCATTTCAAATTATATTCCCTCTGATCCTCTAAGTATCACAGCATGGATAGTCTTAATATCTATGAATTTATTTAACTCCATTCTAAAGCTATTTACTTTGTTAGCTGATACCATATCTTAAAACAATTATTTTTGACATTCAGCTAGGCATCAAGTTCTTCCACTGTTTATTATGAATTTGTCATAGAGATGGGAAAAGATGAGAAGAAATAAAGCAGCAAACACTACAGGAGTTGCTCTGTTCGTCCTGGTTGTTTTAGATACTCCTTTCTTGCAACTGTTGTTATTGCAGATCTAGAATCATTATTAATTTGTATAAAGTATTTACAGTATTGACTTTCACTCTAGTTCCTACTGAAAGTCAGCATGGCATTCACCTTTTCACAGCTGCCATACCCTCATGAAATTTTAACTGACTGTGTCACCATCTGTGATATTTTTTATGATGATTTATTATTATTTTCTTTTTGTTCCCATTGGTTCACTCTTGTATTGAACTGCACTTGCCTTTTTCCCTCATACATCTCATTTGCTTTTTCCCACCCTTTATGATTTATTCTATCTCAAAATTTGGATAACTCATTCCTCAACTATATCTTCTGATCATTTATAAATAAACTGAAAAGCAACTATTCCAGTTCCTTGGAGGACTGAGCAAAGGCCCACCCTACATCTGGAAATATTTATAGCTGGAATTGTTCATGAGAAACCAATAGCAGCCTTGAGATGACCGCATACAAAGATAATACAGCCCTTTTCTCCTTTATTTGAAGGCTTCTGGTAATGGTCAAGAAGGGGCACCAAATCACAGAAGAAGAAAAGCATTACTCTGCTTGCAACTGATTATGGTCAACTTGTTGTCTGGGTTTAGTGTGAATACTTGGTCTGTAATAGCCTCCTCAATTGCAGGAGAGTGAGATTAAGTTACCATTAAACCTTTGAATTGATTGTTTTAAAAATGCCTGTCTTTAAGGAAAACTGTAGGGATGCTTACAGCTGCATAGCACTAGAATCCAGGATCCAGATCCAGATCAGGAATCTTTGATTGAAGATATAAAATATAGAGAATATGTGGTAGAAAAGGGAAGGTAATTCAGCAAAAGCAGATTAAGGGTAATCGGGACCATATATGTCCACTACAAAACCATTATGATGAAAAAGGATGAAATGTGCATTTGGAGGAGGAGGAGGAGGAAAGTTTCTCCATCAGACAACTCAGTGCTAAGGTTTGGCATCCCAGAACACCCCTCCAAAAGTCTGATTACAATAGTCAAGCCAGAACTAATACTGCCTTTCTAGACAAAGAGC